GATTATGTTTAAAGAGGGTTTTAGAAGCATAGATCTTTAACATACTATACTTTGTTATTTTCATAGTTGGAGATACATCTAGCACTTACTCATGGTACATATTCAATGGACTATATATAGCAACTCACCAAGTTTCAAAGTTGTTGATTTTGTTCCCTGAATTGCTTGCCAACCCAGTGACTTTATTCCATGGATTATGCATTTTATTTTGGAATGAATTTAAACAACACAATACATTCAATCTATAGTTGAGCACTTGAGGTTAATGCGAGTGGAAGAAGGAATGTACAGATCCATGAATTGTCATTTTGCATGTGTCTTACTCTAGTTCGTGGGCATTCTCAAAGGAGAAAAGCAGAGCACAGAAGATTTTCAGGGTGGTGAATCAGTGTCTGTATGATACTTTAATGGTAGATTTATGCCGTCATACATTTGCTAAAATCTATAGAATTTATCCAAGAGTAAGTCCTAATGTCTTTAGCCCCTCTACTGGGACTAAAGACTACCCACAATGCCAGCCACAGTAAGCCACAGTAGAGGGTTTTTTCCAGGGCAGTAAGCACGAAGGTTGAATCCTTGATAGAATGTGCTAAAGACTAGAAGAAACTCTTGTTTCCTTCAGTAATAGAGGGAAAACTTGCTTTCAATTCCTCATGAATGGTATATTTTATTTATCAGTTTTTATAGAAAATTTAATTTGTAAAACAGAATAGTAGTTTGAGGAATAATTGAAAACAACATAAAATCTTTAGCCAATGCCTAGAAAATATTATTCTAATCATTTTCAATGATGCTTTCCCCACTACTATCACAATGCTTTTATTGTCATTTATTTTCATTCATGTAATCTGGGATTACCATTATCTTAATTGAATTTTTCGTTCTCTGAGTATGACACTAACCTTTCATTCCTGCACCAATATGTCATGATGATGGCATTACAAACTTTAGCACATCTAGTACATATCGAGATATTAGGTCATTAAAAATATTCTCTCCTTCAATAGTAGAATCTCCATGAACCCATCACCCAGCTTCAACAATTAACATTTTTGCTTTTCTCGTTTATCCTATTTCCTATGACTTTTTTGAAGGAAAAGATCTTAAATATTTTAAAGCAAATCACAGACATATAATTTCATCTACAAATACATCAATACAGGTTGAAATCCCTAATTCAAAAATCCATAATACTCCAAAGTCCAAAACTTCATGTGTCTTATCAGTGCTCAAAAAGTTTCAGATTTGGGAGCATTTCAGATTTCAGGTTTTGGGATTAGAGATGCTCAATTGGTATTGTCTCTGTAACTATGAAAAAATCCAAAAAAAACCTCTGAAAACAAAAACATTTCTAGTCCCAAGCATTTTGGATAAAATATCCTCAACCTGCCTGTCTCATTCTCTAGTGACCCCTATTCCATTCTATTCTTCTACAAGATCAACTTTTTAGTTTCCACAAATGAGTTGAGAACATTTGATACTTGTCTTTCCATGTCTGATGTATTTTGCTCAACATCATGACTTCAAATTCCTGCAAATGACAGGCTTTCATTCTTTATGTGACTGAATAATATTCTGTTATACAGATAATACCATATTTTCTTTATCCATTTACCTACTGGAGGGCAACTGGTTGACTCTTTATTTTGGCTATTATGAATAGTACAATAAATATGAGAGTGAAAATATCTTTTTGGTATAATGATTCAATATATATATATACCCAGTAGTGGAATTGCTGGATCATATGGTATTTATAGTTTTAGTTTTTTGAAGAATCTCCATACTGTTTTCCATAATGGTGAAACTAATTTATATTACCACTAACAGTGTACAGAATCCTTGCCAGAATTTGTTACTTTTTAACTTTTTGATATGATAGTCATTCTAACTTAAGGGAGATGATATCACATTGTGGTTTGGATTTATATTTCCTGATGGCTAGTGATAATGAGCATTTTTTCATATACCATTTATATGTCTATCAAAGATTTTAGCTCTTTGGCACAGTGTGTTCCACATTCATCTCATGGTTATCTATTTGAGACCTGGAACCAGCCATTTTCCCCAGAAGCCCTAGTTCCTTTTAGTGAAAGTAGTATGGGATGCTCACTACTATTGAATTAACAAAGTATGTAGGCCTTGTCAGTGGAAATTATTTGAATATGTATATTTTTGAATGAGAAAAAATTACAAGTTTATTGCTACTTCCCAAATAAATACAATATTGCAGACTTTTTATTTCTTTGATTTTTATGAGATAGTATCTTTTCAGTCAAGTTAAAAATTTTAATTTCCAATAATAATTACATAATTATTTGCTTTATCATACTAAACATGTTTTTTCCTGAGCATAATTTTAAAATGATAGCAATAGTTTCAAATCAGCAATATCACTAACAATAAAATTCTTCAGTACATTTTAAGATTCATTTGTGATTCATTTTATCTTTATGATATATGTTACCAGCAAGGTACAATAAAAATACTAGATTTAAATTACTAGGGATTGAATCTAGGGTGCTTTACAGTGACTAAGGTACTTTCCCAGTCCTTTTTATTTTATTTTGGAATAGGGTCTTAACTAAGTTGGTGAGGGACTTTCTAAATTACTATGCTGGCCTCAAACTTATGATCCTCCTGCCTCAGTCTCCCAAGTCACTGGGAATACAGGTGTACCACTTTGCCTGGTTAGTGACTGACTTTTAAAAAAATAAGTTCATTTAAAAATGATGTAATATTCATGTGGTTTCAAAGTCCAAACCATAATTCAAGTTGTATGTTTACAAAGATCTAGCTTCTATCCCTATCTCCTCTCTCCTTTCTTCTTTACCCCATTGATAACCATCTTTATTTACATTTTTTCCTAGCTTTGTTTTTGCTCTTTTTGAAAGTAAAAGTACAATGTACATTTATGTGTGTTTATGAGCACATTATTAAATAAAACTTCCTGTGAGACTTACCAATCACACATTGAAATAGTATTTCCAGTTTCCAAAGTACTTATACATATCCTCTTGTTTCTCATAACAGACCTTTTAAATTGACAGAACAGGCAATGTTATCGCTATTTTATTAAGGACCCAAGTCTCAGATGATTGAAGAGCTACTTAAGTTTACCAGGTTTGTATGTGGCACAACAAAACTAGTGCCCAGATAGTGTGGCATGGTATTTAAGAAAACAAGCTCTGGAGTCAGAGTGCCCTGTACTGTTCTGCCACTTACTAATTATGAGTTTGTGTAATATTAACCTCTTTTAAGGCTCAGTTTCCTCCACTGAAGAGATATTTATAGTATCTATCTCATGGGATTGTTCTGAGAAATAATTGAGACAACATAAAATCCTTAGCCAATGCCTAGAAAATATTATTCTAATCATTTTCACTGATGCTTTCCCCACTACCATCACAATGCTCTTATTGTCATTTATTTTCATCCATGTAATCTGGGATTACCTTTGTCTTAATTGAATTTTTCATTCTCTGAGTATGACACTAACCTGTCTTTGCTGCACCAATATAGTCGTTGTAATGCTGGCAATACAAACTTTAGCACACCTAGTATATATGGAGATATTAGGTCGTTAAAAAAACTTCTCCTTCAGGCCTTGCATAGTGTCTTGCTTACACTGAATCTTGAAAAAGATAGTTACCGGGTGAATTATTTCTACCTGAAGTGAGGACTTTGTGGAGCAGGTAGATTTAATATTCCTTCTGGAGAACCTATAAAACACAATGGACCAAGAGACCTGTAGCTGGGAAGTTGCGTGAACAAAATCATAGTAGCTAGAAGGATAGTGCATTCAGTACTAATACACATCCTCTTGTTTCTCATAACAGACCTTTTAAATTGAGGGCACACGTATTGCATTCAGGGCACACGTATTACATTTAAAAAGCCCGGAACTAAGATGTGGCAGTAGGAATGGAAAGCTAAAAATTTGGGGAGCTTTGACTCACATTTGTGATATTTAACATGAACAAGGAACCTAGCATTTGAAGATTGGGAAGTGGGAATTAGTTTCACAGTTTGAGATAGTATTCTAATATGTCAGTCATATTTATATTCTTAAAAGTAAACAAAATTGACTGACTGGCTTCTCTTTTCTTTCTTTCAAACGTGGGGTTATAAAATGAAATACCCAACTCATCATAGGTTTTGCCTAATGCATATAGTTATTATGTTTAAATTATTTGTCACTAGATGGAGTCCACGAGCCCACGGTGGTAGACCTTTTCTATACTTCTTCCTGTTATTCCTGTTCTTGACTTTTGAAGGAGATAATAATACTTTTTTTAAAAACTGGCAAATGATTTTGAATGGCAGAATTATTTGGTTGGCAAAAGTCTTTTTTCCCCCACATTCTTCTTTTCCAAAAAAATGTTTGCAAAAGACCTTAAAGATCACAGTTAAATTTCAGTTCTAAATCTTGATCGTATATGGTATGTGATAGTAAGAGTGTTTTTAATTTACTCTGTTATTGAATGTTAATTAAAAAATAAAATTGTTATCTTCTGTTCCAGGAATTCAGTGTTTAGGAGCTCTTGATTTCAACCCTTTTAACTTATATATTTTCTACCCACTATGAGCTTTCTTTCAAACACCAATAAGAACAATTGTTGAATTATTTACCATGTCATTTGTTAGCTTGACAAAACATGTACCTGCATTTCCAAAACCTTTCATAATGTGAAATACCCTAAGAGGCCAGGATAAGCAAATTTTCTTTATCAAAGTCAGCAAAAGGTAAGAAGGCAGGAGCAAGTAATAAATAAATACTGGTGGTTATTCTAGTTGCAGACTTCCTTTGCTATTTATTTTGAGTAGGGACTTGGGCAGTGGGGAAAGAGCAAATGAATATATGAAATGGTTTCATAAAGGATCTTGGGAACTTTCCAGGCCCCAAAGAGAATGCAGTTAACTTTCTCAATTAGTTGGTATGCAAGGAAAGATTCGGGCAAGATCTAATCTAATTCCTTTTTTGTATCTTTCTGCCACAGCACATGTCCTTACAGTCGGCCTCCCTTTGGCTATGGGAATTTTCCAAGCTCAATGCCAGAATGCCTTGGTTATTATGAAGACAGGTACCAAAAACACGAGGCTATGTTTTCAGCTTTAAATAGAGACTACCCTTTCAGAGACTACCCAGACGAGCGCACACACAATGAAGATTCTCGGGGTTGTGAGAGCTTGGATGGGACCTCTTACTATAACAGCCACAGCCACAGTGGGGAAGAATACTTAAATCCCATGCCCCAGCTGGACATTGGGGCTTTGGAGAACGTCTTCACAGCTCCCACCTCAACTCCCTCTAGTATCCAGCAAGTCAACGTGACTGACAGCGATGAGGAGGAAGAAGAAAAAGTGCTCAGGAATTTATAATTTTAAAACAAATATGCACAGAAAATAAACATTTCTTAAAATATACTCTGGGTCAGTTGGTGTGAGAAAAAAAGCCTAGAATCCTTTGCTGAGAGTTTTCAGCCATGATTCGAGGAGTCAAAACCAAATTCTATTCATGTCTTCATAAAATGTTGATTAATGAAACTGGAGTCCTGATGTTTCATCGTAGGAATATTTAAAATATGAAGCAGATTACTTTTATGGCTGAAATTTGCACCAACATGTTATCATTACTTTATGTTGGCATGTACAAAATACAGAAACCTCACAATTGTGTGTGAGGAGAAAGGTAGTATATATCTGGCATAAGAAGTGTGATTTGCATTTTATCTCAGGATACATATATATTCTTAAATAATTTTTGTTTGGTGTTTATATAATACTTATATTGTCAGTTTTTATGTAACATTTTGAAAATATTTTGATAACTTTTAGAAGTGAATTGGGACTCAGTTACTAATTTACAACAATAACCAATTATAAGTTGCAAATGTGTTTTAATGGCACCTGGGTAATTCTTTCAGCTATATTTAGTCATTGCTGTCCCTAAACATTTTTATCATCATTTTAAAATATATTTTTTTTCCATTTGGTATGCATTGTTGTATTTTTGTTATAATTAAATAAACATAGATAAAATTGTTCTTGATGGATGTTTTCTGTTTGGATGATAGAAATAAGTACAATGAATATTGTTCATTTAAGATTATTTTTCATACCACATACAGATATTTATTTTTGTTTAATGGCTTTTAGAATTGTACAGAATCCCATTATCTTGCATGAGACTTGATATTGTATTAATAAAGATGTGCACATACTTATATTATTTCAAAACTGCTTACACATGTGTACATGTAACTTAAACACTCCTATGAAGGGGCAATGGTTCCAGATTTGGTTCAAGCAGCTGTCTTGAAAACCATGAGTTTACTCAAAAGCATATGAAATTTATTTAATCCACAATACACAAAAGCCCCTACTTATTAACCCCTGCTATGGGCAAATGCCCAATTATAGATAGCAAAGACCTTTTGGAATGGGATCAGGACCACTAGAGATGGGATCATGGTAAAAGACAGATCTAGAAGGCACAAAGTGAGTTGATGATGGATAATTGCCACAAATCAGTACACTTTTCCCTCAGTGATCTGTATAATTTGTGTAAATTGAGGTCTTGTTACTTAAACTGGTTGGAAATTGTGTATAGAAAACTGTTTTAAGCTTCCAACTTCTTCCTTTACTAAACCTGCATTTGTTTCTTAAACAAAGGTTGTTAATGTAATACATTTCATCAACCCTATTCTGACTGTACATAAAATTTTCACTCCCAATAAAATTTTTTATTTTCATGTTTTATATTTTTGTTATCACTCAACCCTATGCCATTTTGATGTGGTTAAAGAGCAAAACATGAATTTCTTGCTTGGTAGAGACTAAATATTATATCATTTCACATCCGAACTAGAGCAATATTGGTTGTATATATATTTAATGTCTATTCCTTAGGAGTGATGTATGCAACAATTTGACCCATTTTTCCAGATCTCATTTTAATAACACCTATGTAATTAAACTAGGTCTTCATCATAGACCTTATTCTTATAGAAAAATTGGTTGGGAGAATCACTGTGTAAAGTAGTAGAATGATAATAGAGCATAGTTCAGTATTTCTACCTGTTTTCAGGGTGGTCTTCCCCAGTCTTTTCTCTTAATGGCTGGACTTTTCTTTTAATCTTCTCCTTTTTCTTTAGTGCTGGGATCAGAAGTCAGGAATTTAGAATATTTATAGATCCATGGTATAATTTGGGTTAGGAAATATGCTTATCTCTTATTTAGAAAAGTGCCCAATTGTAGATAAGCATGCATAACTACATATCTACTCCCTTATAGCTCTTCAAGTCACTGACTAAAGAACTACAGACTAAACAAAGCCCTGCCCCATTGGCAATAATTGATCTGCCTCTCCAAGTCATCAAAGGGAAAATGTTCTGATCTGGAAGCCACAAGTACATTGTAATAGGTCTCATTGCCTTGTTTGTTCTTATTATGAATTGGAGTTCAAGATATTTGTTATAAGAATAGTTTCCCTTTCCAAGTATGCATTGCAATGTCAATATGTTTAGGATGTTACTCAAACTGTTCCATGCTTTTGACATAACTGTTCTAGTCATTTGCAAATAAAAATAACCAGTTTGACAGCAAATAGATTGAAAATATGGTTAGTTCCAACTTTCAAGGAGCTGAGTTATCAGACTTAGAAAGGCAAGAGATGTGTTTCTCCATGTGTGTTAGTTAGAACCCAAGCCATTCAGATATTCTGACAAAATCTAGTCAAATAAGTTTTGGAGACTCATACCATACCCTGCTACCTTGGAGAATGTTAACATTCATCTCCATTGTAATGTCTCAAAAATATAGCTGTAAAGACCTCTGCTTGTCTCTGTGTTTCCCAGTGCATGAGACCCCCACCCTTGTTTGTTTTCTTTTTAACAATGCCTACTAACATCTCATGGAATACACTTTGGAAAATGCTAATACAGTAAGTAATATATGGTGGCTTTGTTTTAAAAATTGTTGACTTTACATATGGTTTTCTGCATTGGTTACCTCAAATCCTTTACTGAAAGAAAACAGTAGCTGAATAAACTTTTTTGAATTAAGTATGTAATGATCTTAAGAGATTAAAGAACTGAAACTAAAAATTGTTGTCAGTTGCTGTTGGCTATTAAACTGGCTTTTTAATGAAAGTTGATATTGCACCGAAGAATTCAAGTAGGCAAAAGTGCTAAATGCATACACAGTATATTTTTCACTGGTTAACAGTGCCAACCAGCTGTCAATGGGTTTATATCTGAGCCAAAGAAAGCCTGAGCTGCTTTTGAAAGTTGTAGTTTGGAACTGAGTTTGAAGTGAATTTTTGGGGATTCTGTGAACTGCTTGCAGTATTTTCAAGTAGTCTAATTATGATGTGGGCAGAGTAACTGAAATGTTTTAATTCTGCATTTTAAACAGATTCTGCTGAAACACATCCTTTTTTAGCTTTCTTAATCTTAAGTTTTATGGATTTAAGAGAAATTCCAAAGGCATCCCAATACTTTTCTAAAAATAATTACAAAAGGAGAAAGCACCTTTTATCTAATTCTACTTAATAGAAAACTTTCACACCCTTTGTTTTGGGTTTTGACTGCATGACCCAACCTTATCCCTCTGCTTTGTGATGAGTTTAACATATCAAGCTTAATAAAAATTTCACTACTGAATGGTTATTGGGAAAGGGGGCTGGCAAATGGGGGAGGGTTCTTGCTCTACACCTTTATATCTCCTCCTCTGAGAGCACTTCAGGGAAATGTCTTCTTTCTAAAAAGAATGTCCTGCATCTAACACATATTCTTTTTCAAAGGAAGATCATTAGAAAGCTGGTTTTGACTGTGTCCTGGGGCACTGTGGGGCTGACAATCCCTCCTATAGAATGTTTTTTCTTTTAAGCTACAAGTAATTACCCAGTCAGTGAGTTTATTTCTAAGCCAAAGAAAGTCTGAGCTGCTTTTGAAAGTACACAGGTTATAGGATATGAAAAGGTATAAGACTAAATCCTCCTGATCCCACTATGCCAGGGACTGAAGAGCAGAGGGTTCCTGGACAAGGGACTTTTCAGTGCTAAAATTGGGAAACTTCTGTGTCAACTAGGGTGAATTGGTCACCCTAATGAGTAAAATGAATATTGAATCACCTACAGAGCTGGCTTTTGAAATTATTCCACCCCACATGGAGTTTGAAATTGGCAAATCTCACTTTTGAAGGCAGATAATGGCTGAACTTGTAGGAGAGCCCATTAGAAAGATGTGGGATAAGACACAGGATGTGTGGAGATTCATAACAATTAATACTAGGGGTGCTTTCACCAGACAACTTCAAGTTTACTTGGAAGACTAAGAGAAAAATGATCCTAGCTGTGCCTTTTAGTGACATTTCACTTTCCAAACCAGGGAGAAGGGTGTGTTTTCATTAACATGGAGTCTTTGTTTTGAACTTTTTTAGTTTCCCCAATAATTATAGAGGGATATGAGTCTAGAGCCTTTAGCACAACTCAAAGCTGAGTTACTTTGGCACAGATATTGTCCCACCCATTTTCAGGTGTCTGTGAGACATCATGTCAGTGTTTTTCAGTAAACTACCTCCCAACAAGTTGAGCCCAGAATCTTATGTAAAAAGTAATCATTCTCTGATGTGTACACTTGATCTCTTGAACTGGAGCCTGGTAATTGCACTCTTTCTTTAGTGGTAAACTGCATTTTTTTTTTTTTTTGGTACCGGGGATTGAACCCAGGGGTGCTTTACAACATTAGCCACATTCCAACCCTTTTTGTATTTTTTAAAATTTAGAGACAGGGTCTTGCTGAGTTGCTTAGGGCCTTGCTAAATTTCTGAGGCTGGCTTTGAATTCAAATCCTCCTGCCTCAGCCTCCCCAGCTAAGGGATTACAGGTGTGTAAACTGCATTTTTAATAAGCTCATCACATGATTGTCATGCACCTCTATCAGTAACACCATGTAATATTTTCAAGACATTTTCAAATTTTGTTTTGAAAACAATATAGCTACATTAAAGAGAATTTTCAGAGGAGAAAAAAAGGCTTTAATCCAAATTCAGTAATTATTTCTATTTTTTGATGTTCTTTCTAATATTTGTCCACACACATACACATTTTCACATGATTGTAATCACAACACATGCACAAATTTTCATTTTATCTATTTCATTATGAGCTGTTTATCCTACTTTATGCCTTCAAATTGATCACCTTTCATGTTTGCATATTATTCTCTAACAGATGTGTCATTTGGAAGAGTTGAGATTATAGGGCCTTCTAAATTGGCGTCAATAATCGGTCCTAACAAATTTCAACAATGAGCTCCGAGTGAGCTCTCATACTGACAGACCAAAAGGAGGGGTTTTCTCTAAGCAGTCATCATTCTGGGGATTTTTGCTGTTTGAGTTGGATCTAGCTAGGGCAAGCAGGC